AGGCGGTGCCGGTGGCTGCGGAGCCGCGGCACGCTGCTGGCCGCTGCCTGGCGACGGCGCCCGGGAACAGAGCCCAGGCTGATAAGCCGGCTTACTCTATGGTCGGAAAATGTCGATTAAACGGCCCGTCCTTGTGATCCGGCAGGGACCGGAGTTCCTCTAAATGGAGTTTGGGGTTTCCCCTCTCGGTGTCGTTCAAGAGCCGGTGTCAGCTGCGAGGGGAATGCCCTTACCCTCTCTGTCTCTGTCCTCAGATTCCCTGTCTGTGCAGCGGTGCCTCGTGTTTGCTGTGCCAATGTTGTCCCAACAGCAAGAATTCAACAGTGACGCGTCTTATCTATGCCTTCCTCCTCCTCCTCAGTACTCTTCTTGCCTGCATTATGCTGGTACCAGGGATGGAAGAGCAGCTGAAAAAGGTATGGAGGGGAAAACCTCTTTCTAACTGTTTGCAAAACCATTACTTGTGCCCATGACTATTGATTCTCTTTACTTGGAATGGATTATGTGAGAGACCCAAACAGCCAAATGTGCCTTGTCCCCCAAGTTAAGAGACTGCGTGTACTGAACAGCTTCTAGCTGAGATAGCAAATTCTGTGAATACACGTTTTTAAGTACATGCCTGGTCTCTGAAACCTTACGAGACCTGGAGATTGCCAGTCATTATCAGAGGCCTGCTGCTTTGGTATCTGTATCTTCCCGGATGCTTTTAGTGATGACATGGGGAAAGAAAGATGATAATAAGGTCTGTTCAGGCCAGCTGAGCACAAGGTCTTGTGTTATCAGGTCTCCCAGAAGACGGCTGACTGAAAGCCTTAGCTGTTAAGAGTGCTTAAAGAATGTAATTGCAAATGCATATGTAAATTCACAACTAAATGTGTCTTTACTCAGATACCTGGATTTTGTGATGAGGGGCTTCATACTCAGATACCGCATATGGATGGCTTTGTCAGCTGTGATGTGTTTGTTGGATACAGAGCTGTCTATCGAATCAGCTTTGCCATGGCAGTGTTCTTCTTTCTGCTGTCTGTGCTCATGATAGAAGTGAAAACAAGTAACGATCCAAGAGCCTCGGTACACAATGGGTATGTGTGTGAGCCAGCTGCCTGGTCTTCCAACTTGTTTCTTTGTTGAACACAGTGGCAATTTGTTTACGCGTGCATTGACAGCCTCGAGTTCCTTCTGAACTGAATGCAGGGTAACACTTTAGTCTTCCCAAAAGCTTCCTATTTGTGTAACATTCAGCTACTGATAACGCTGTGAGGTTGGGTAGCCAAAAGGGCGGTGCTCTGAGCACCCCCCTGTGTTTCCACAGAGATGCTAGATGGCAGATGGTTTATGTCGCCATCCTCGCACTGACTCTAGCGCTCACTGCGTCATTCAGTGGGCCAGTCTGACTCGGTAAGCCAGCAGAAACTGGTTTCTGATTTCTGATTCACTGATTTAACTGGGTTAGTTCTGGGCTAGATGACTGAATTATCACAGAGTCACTTAATTTGAAAAGGACCTTTGGAGATCATATGATCCAATACCCTACTTAGAGCAGCACCAACATGGAGCAGGTGGTTTGGGGTCTTGTCTAGTTGAGTTTTGAAGGTATCAAAGGGTGGGGATGCTTTGACCTCTCGGCAACTGGTGCACTTTCTTGCAATATCTAATTGTAGTTTCTATTTTCGCAGCTTGCATATGTTGCTTCTTGTCCTTCCACTGTGCACCTGCAAGAAGAGTCTGGTTTTGTCATCTTTACACCTTTCTTTCAGGCAGTTGAAAACGGCAATTAGATTTCCCTTTTCCCTTCTCCAAGCTGAACAGCAAAGAGGTAGCCTTCCTCCCTGTGAGGATGAGCTGCTGACTCATGTTCCGTTTGCTGGAGCAGGAGTTCCTCTTTCAGCAAAGCTTTCTAGCCAGTCAGCCCCAGCCTGTCCTGTCGCACGGGGCTTTTCTGTCCTAGCTGCAATGGTCTGCATTTGCCTTTGTTGAACTTTTCTGTCAGTTCATGTCTCCAATGTATTGACCATTGCTTCACCCTCTCCCCCTGATCTGGTGAACACCTTTATGTCTAATCCCACTGAACACAACTTTTTTTTCTTTACATTTCCATTAGACACTCCCTATGTACAGCAAGCTGCTTGCAGATCATGTAAAACATGACTATTGTGTGCAGAGTAAGACCAATATTTTCAACTCGTATCTTCTTTTAAAGGTTCTGGTTCTTCAAAATAGCTGCCATTGTGGCTATCATGGTTGGAGCGTTTTACATTCCTGAAGGGCCTTTCACAAGAGGTACGGTTAATACGTCATCATGGAATTCTGTTTAATAAACTCGAACGTTTTCACAGACTTGCCAGGCTATAGTTGTGATAGTGAAAGTTACCTCGTAGAAGACACAGATTCTGTCCTACTTCATTGGAGTATCTTGGTTCATCAAGTATTTTGGCGGTCAACTGAAGTTATGGCAACAAGCAATCCCTCTTCAAGTGCATAGGTGTTGTGTATTAATAATTCTGTACTCCATGACATGATCACTACTGGGCTGAGTCTTCTGAGACTCTTTAGATTAGAGGCAGCTCAGAACACTGACAAGTGCTAAATACCTCCTTAGAGCTTCTGAAAAATCTGTGCAAGAAACCTTTACTGTCTGGCCACATCACAGGAACTTGAAAGGGTTTTTGATCCTCAAAGAAGTGTGGCATGATGGTACTCCTGTACCCAGGGATGTCTTCTGTTAGATCTTGTGTTTGTTCTGAAAACACACGGGGCTGAACATTCCCATGCTCAGTTTGACAAGCATAGGCTGCACCCTTGAATAGCTGGGACTTCTTGCATCTTTCTTGCAAGATGGAGGCTAAAGTGATTAACAGCATCTGCATTTCTAAATACAGTTTCAGATTTTTTCATTATTTGTCTGCAGTATAATTAGGAGCTTTTTTTTTTAACTGTGGTAGCATGCAAATGATGAAAGCTAACCCTGTTTTTCTTGCTCCCTTTTCTAGTTTGGTTTGCTATTGGTATTTGTGGAGCCTTCTGCTTCATTCTTATCCAGCTGGTGCTTCTTGTGGACTTTGCTCACTCCTGGAATGAGAGCTGGGTTGAGAGAATGGAGGAGGGAAATTCTAAATGTTGGTATGCAGGTAGGAATCTTAACCTGTAAAGGATTTGTTTCTGCAGAAACTTTGCAGAGTATCATGTACTAGTTTGCAAACATACTTAGAATTACACTCCACAGTCTCCTTGAGTCACTACTGTAAACCTTTGGAATTAATAGTTGCAGTGTTGCCTTTCTCATTAAATAAAATGCAAAATATTTTAGGCTTGTGGATAGCAGATCTGACAGTCATAATAAACAACACTTGCCTAGTTTGCAGTGCAAGTGCAGAGCTAGTAGCCTGGATCTCTTCCACTCTAACTTTGCTTTGCCACCTCCCCTGCTGAGGTCCTCAGGAAGTTGGTTATGTGGATGACAATGGCTGCAGTACAACACAAAGCATGCCTCAGCGCATGCTCTTGAGCTGACCACTAAATTACAAAGTGCTAATTGTTGTGGTTCTTTGCTCACAGTTACGAATGCTGCAACAGCATTTTGTAGCCTCTTACAAAGAACATAGCAGAATGGAAAGGAAAATGGGTGGCTTCTAGCTTAGAAGGGGGAATTCAGGGCTTGTAAGTAGCCCATGAGAAGCATCCAAAAAGCACTCTCATTTTGACACGGTGGCTTGACATCAGCTAAACCGATTAAACTGCCACTGAAAGGCAGGTCTTATTCCCCCAGTGTCAGCACTGGCTTTCCTCAGAGCTACACTACTTAGTGAGTCAAAGCAGAAATTTAGCCATACCTAATAAAAATGCATTCTGCTAGTCTAGTTTTCTGAACCAGACTTCCAAGTGAGGAAGAGGGGCTGTCTCATTACAGTGGTAGCTGGTCATTAAATCACTGTTAAACTCTGTGTATTGTAACAGGTGTTTTTTTCCCTCCAGCTCTGCTGTCCTGTACAAGCTTGTTCTATATCTTGTCACTGGTTTTTGTTGTGCTCTTCTATGTTTTCTACACGAAGCCTGATGACTGCACTGAGAACAAGTTCTTCATAAGCTTTAATATGATCCTGTGCATTGCTGTCTCCATCGTTTCTATACATTCAAAAGTTCAGGTATTATTTTTCTCTGCTATTTTCTTCTGATATACAAAGCAGGGAAGTAAGAAAGTGTGGTACCAATTCAGTCAGACATAAGAACTTCCAAATTTGGCTATCATAGCTATGCTAGCTAGGAACACTTAAAAAAAAGTCTCGTTCAGAAACCAATGGACCACATAGTGACATATTTCCTGAAGATAGGCTTCTTTTGGCTGCATTGTTTTGGACTCTGTTTCCATGTGGGGCATTCTGCTGGCATGGTTTTAGTGGTGAAGGTTCTGGCAGAACAGAGAATCCTGTTAAGGAAAAGCAAAATAAGCTGGGAATTTATTGGCGTAATACTGTGGCTTTGAAATTAGGGATAAGTGCGTTTAATATGAGAAGCAGCTCACATGTTACTTGATTCTGAACTGGTATTGCTCAAATAAATCACATGCTAGGTTCCTATCTACAAAACTGTTAAGCAAGTTGGGATTAACTCAGTAAGAACCCATAATCAAGTCTTGGGCACAGACAAACTGGATTTGGTTTGCTTATTCCTTCCATGTTTGAGTTGCTCACTGCATAAATTGTATTACTCTAAGGAGGTTCTTCTGGTCTTTTAAAGATGGAACAAAGCCCAGTGCATTTCTAAAAAATACAGTTTTTCATGCTGTTGTTATTGAATCTGTGACAGTAGGGTAAAACTATCCAACTATAGGTAAAACTTGCCCTTTTGACCTTGGCTTACTTTTCTGTCTTCGAACAGGAACATCAGCCTCGCTCTGGCCTCCTCCAGTCCTCTGTTATCACGCTCTACACCATGTACCTCACTTGGTCAGCCATGTCCAATGAGCCTGGTAAGTGACAGGCTGTCTTGAGGAAAATATTCTGGTGTGAAAGCAGAAGCTGTTGATGGGGCTTGTAGCTATGACAGATCACTGTATGGGGATTGCTGATCTGTCTAGATAAAATCTAGTGCAGCAGTAAAACTGACTTTACTGAAGCCATCAAATTGCCTCTTTCCAGAAGTAAACTGGGGTAGTTGTGAGGGGGGGAAAAAAACTGTCCCAGGTCATTCTGATTTTATTTATTACACCCTTGCCTAGTTTACAGGAAGGAAAAATATTCAGCCATTGCTGCCTCTGGGGAACTGAAGAGAACAGCAGTTAAAGGGAATGAAAAATTGCAAGCTTATCTGTCATCTTTTCTTAGCTAAATACTGGCAAAGCTCATCTCTCTTTAATCTGCCTTGAAATCCCTTCCAGAACGAAACTGTAACCCAAGTTTGCTGAACATCATAACCCAGATCGCTACACCCACAGTTGTTCCGGCAAATACCACTGTTGTACCTGCTACTCCAGCTCCGCCCAAGTCCCTGCAGTGGTGGGATGCCCAGAGTATTGTTGGATTGGTTATCTTTGTCCTTTGCCTCTTGTATTCCAGGTAGGATCTGCACTGCTATCAAATGATAAACAATGGGGACTCGTCTGCTTTTTTGTTTGAATCTGGGTTCAGTGAAAAATGTAACCGCATTTATTCATACGCAGCTGTGGTCCCAGGCCCAAGCCTAAACATGGCTGATAAAACTGCGTTCTGTTTTGTGGGTGAGGAGAAGCTTTATTAGCCCAATTCAGACAACAGAACAAAATGTGTTACAAGACCTGGACTAGGAACACTGTTTAATTAGGTTAACAAATGCTTGGATGAAAACAGATCTCTTTGTAGCTTCCTTGTGTTTCCAGATGGATTTAAAAAATATTATTTGCTAGTTCCAGATATCCACTGTGGTCTGTTTCTTGCTTCATTAGCAAACACAGCTAACTGAAAAGGGAGTTTTTAATCATGTCTACCTTTGGATTACACTGCAGCATTCGCTCTTCAAGTAACAGCCAGGTGAACAAGCTGACACTGTCTGGGAGTGACAGTGCCATTCTGGAGGACACTGTGGGAGCAGGCAGCGGGGCTGCAGAGGAAGGAGAAGTGCGCCGTGTCATGGATAATGAGAAGGATGGTGTTCAGTACAGCTACACCTTCTTTCACTTCATGCTCTTCCTTGCCTCTCTTTACATCATGATGACACTCACAAACTGGTACAGGTAAGAACAAGACAGAAAGTGATGTGTTGTGTGTGCCAGACTGTGTTTCTAGGTGGGTAGGAGACTCCTGCCCTGTAGGCTACTCCTGCCCAGCTGGTTAAGGTGCTATCCCTGTGCCAGTTGCACTGGAGTTGTGCCTTCTCAATTTTGTGTTGCTGAATAAGATGTACAAGACCTGTACAAAAAGACAAGATCAGCAGCTGTAGTCCTAGTGGACTGCTTCACAGCTGCAAGGGCAGAACACATGGTTACCATCCTTCAGCTATGCATGCAGCAGGCAGGATGTGTGCAAAACTGGCTTAGGGTGGCCTCCTGGGAAGCTTGTCAGAGGCCAGCCTGATGTTACTGGCTCTTCACCCTGGGAAAGATGTGCAGGGACAGCCATGTGTGCCACTTCAATGCAGATTCGATTTCCTAGCTCTGTTGGGAACACTTGGCCATAACCTCTGCTGCTGCAGCGTAGAACTGCTTTCCCCAGGACTGCTGTATCATATAAATTAGCAAATATGCTTGCAGAGCAGCAGCCATCAGGCATCTATTGTATAGCTCATGGTAGCATTTCCTTTAAGAGTGGCACATCAGCATAGGCAACCAGGAAATCGCTGGTTGAGTTGTCTCACCATATTCCTCCCGCAAAGGCTCTTGCATTGGAGCCTCCCAAATCATTGTTCTAACTTCAGATTCAGATGAGAGATAGCAAGGAATAGTGGTACCCTCTGTATATATTAATTGACTTCTTTACTTTTTAGCCCTGATGCGGATTTTAAAACAATGACAAGTAAGTGGCCAGCCGTGTGGGTGAAGATAACCTCCAGCTGGGTTTGTCTCCTTCTCTATCTTTGGACCCTAGTGGCTCCTCTTGTCCTTACTAATAGGGACTTCAGTTAAATTGCTGCACCTGTCTGAGCTTACAAAAGTGGGGAACTTTTTGCTGAAAGCCAAACTGTTCATGTATTGCTTTAGTTACACTGTGTTACTGTTTATGTTAATAGAAACATTAAGGTGGATAGAAAGTTATGTATTGCATAATGCTTGATGCAGGATGAAAGTTATCAGTTATCTTTTTCTATTTTAACCTTCAGTCCTGGTTACCTTATTGCTACGTTTTTAAAATTCACTACAGCTGTGCTGTCAAAGCACAAAAGAAAATCCCTGTTCTGTCCAATAGCCGCAACCTTTATATTGAATAGAAACAACATTTAACTAAATAAGTAATATATTTTAAAGCACAATTATATTCAGCATAATGCACTAGTATGCTAATGCCTCATTTCCTGGAAATGTAAGCCATGCTGCTTGATTTCTACATTCCATTGCAAAAGTTTATTTAAAGCAAAAGTTTATTTAAATTATACTTACCTTCCCGTGTTGTGGCAAAAAACCCCCCCTTATTCCTCACCAAAGGAACAGAACTTTGAGGTTGAAAAACTGGTTAACTCTAATTCCTTTTAAGAAAAAACTTGCCCTTTCTAAGAGGCAACTTCTATGGTAACTTCTTTTTTCATATGTTTGCCAAATACTGAGTGGTAAGTGTATGACTAGCTTAAACAACTTTATGGTTATGGTGGAAAAATAGAGCTTCTAATAGATTTTACTTGTCTAATATGCTTAAAAAAATAATCTACACAAAATTATTATTGTTATTGGCACTAAGGCATTTGCACTGTAAACTCATTTGAATAAAGGAGACTACTGAAACTGTCTCAGCTCTGTTGAGAAGTGTTAAAAAGCAGCGGTTAATTATCTAATGCAAAATGCTACCTACAATGATTAAAATGCTAATTAGCTGTTACAGTGTCCAGCTGGATGTGACTGGATGTTTTTTCCATACAGCAAAGAGTAAGTCATAATATATTTATTTTGAAATATACACTGTTTGTGCATCTTCCATGTGATTCTCTGAATGTCAGATCCTATTCCGTGAAGTTGCTCAGGTACAGTAGTTCAACTAAAATTTAGTTCTGCAGAAGAAAGCAACACCTTTTTCTAATGTAACTGGCAATTACTTAGTTGCAACTGTGTGTTTAGTGTGGAACTAAGTACATGTGGCTATTGACTTTTACAATAGAATACCCCAAGACAAGAAGGCAAACATAATTAAAATATCAAATTGGCAGCTGTTATGATGTGTTTAATCACCCAGTCATGCATCATAAAATTACACATTTTGACCACTCCATTTTATAAAATGCAATATAAAAATAAATTTTGTCAAAATAAGATGTACACTTAACCACCCAACACCTCTAGGCCCACATACAACAGAAGGCAAAATTATTAGTTTGAACAACACTGTATGATTAACTCAGGCCAAAATGAGATTTAACAAAAAAAAAAACTTCACCCAGTTCCTGAAAATACCTTGGGGTTTTTAAACACCTGTTTGCAAGAACAGAAATTCAAGTACTTTTATGTATAGTATGCAGCTACCTTTTGTGCCACTTAATGCCAAAATCCCTGGCTGCCCCATGTGGTTCAAGTATTTGTGGGATTTGGCAGGGATGGCTGATGTACTGGGCAAGGCCTATCACCTCTGGAAACAAAGTTACTTCAAGTGGAAGTAAGAACAGATCAGTTTTAGAGCTGTGAAAAAAACAACTCAAAAAAACCTCCATAAGCTTTTTCTATCTCTTAACTTGCAGATAAGGAGATTCTATGCTTAAAACAAGCATAGAAATTTTGGGAACAAACTGATTTCTTTGCTATTAAGTGCTAAAGCTCAAGGAGCATTCTCAGCTCGGTAGTCAGGCACGTCTAAGAGCTGTGCTTTCTCTAAGACAAGACAAGCACTGGTTAGGAACCTAAAAGGGTAGAGATACAGCTCAATGAAGTTGCCAAGAAATGGCAAATTAGAAGTAACCGTTAGATGCTTGACAAAGGTAGTAAGCCCGGCTTAGTTCAAGCATCCCAACATCAACTGCCCAGCAGCCAGCGTCAAGAAAAAGAAGTTCTGGAGGCAAAACTGGTTATTTTCAGCATTGATAACTCAGCCTTATCCATTAGCTTTAAATCACATGCTTTATTCTTAGTTTCTCTGTAAGCAGAGGAGAAAAAGGAAGAGATGGATCTAGTTTGTCTACTAAAGGTGTTGCAAGAGAATATAAAAGCCTGAAAAAGGGTTTGGTTTCTGTAGAGGTTCCTCAGCCTTCTGTTGAACACTGAGGTTTGTTTGTTGGTTTTTTTTGACACTAAATTGAATTTGAATATTCAACCTCCCTCTCTAGTAGTTACATAAGGCGATCAAAGTAGCGGTTCCTATAGGTTAACTGTCAAAATACCACTGCTTCAAACCCTGCAGCACAATTAAGGAAAGAGCATCAAATACCAGTCATGCCTTCACCTCTAGGAAGAGTGGTCCATCCTACTTTTTTTTTTTTTTTAATTGTACATTGTGGCTGGAATTAAGAGGCACTAAAACAATATAAACACCAGTCTCTATGTTCTGGCAGTTAACAGTGTGGGCAGCCATTTACCTTTCTAAATCCTGGTGCTGTGTGCTACTGTCTTGCTAGGTGGCACAAAGAACTGAATTAATCTCTGCAAAACACACAGCACATTCTGGTCAGAAATGAGGAGGAAGTGGGTAGCAGTACTCTTTTTTTTCCCTTAAGTAGTTAAAAATGGTATGGGCTTTTTTCCTGCACTAAAAGTAACGGCTGTCAAAGAAACGTAAAAATTGACTTATAAAGGTAGGAAAAATCAGATGCTTCCAGTGAGGGAAATTCATCTCTTCCTACCTTTATTCTAAAACAGTTCAAGTGATGAGTTCTGCTCCCACAAATTCTGAATTACCACCCAGAAAAAAAAGCTTCATGGTTTACCCCTTTTCAAAACCCATTCTCCTTTTATAATACTTGGATGAGAGGTATGGCATTTGCTACCCCCTAGTCCCAGGACGAGGTCTGCTGCCAGGTCAGGAAGTCATTACAGTGGAAGAAGAGTCTTTTTTGGCAGTGCAATCATGCTGTAGGGGACTGGGAGGAAGACAGACATTCAAAACAGTCTGGCAATTTGAAAAATGAGTGTCTGAAATCCTTAAGATGCTTTAGGTTTATATTTACAGAAACATAACTGGTACCTATAATCACACTTGGCACTAAATAAAAAAAATGAGTGTCTGAAATCCTTAAGATGCTTTAGCTTTATATTTACAGAAACATAACTGGTCACACTTGGCACTAAATAAAGATCTCATCCCAAGAAAGTGCTCTAGAGAGAAGTCTGCAATTAGAAGGGATGCTCTTTTTCACCAGAGTGAAATGTTTCACCTTGCAGTAATTGAGTGTGCTTTCCTGGCCATACTGAGGTTTCCCATCTCCACTCTATAACAGTGCAGAAAAAAATGTGCAAAGAATGTGCTGAGAATTAAGTTCTAATTCAAGACCATTAAACAGGTTGAACCCGGGGAGCGGGAACAGCTTATTTAGATATAGGTATCTTACCCTGATTTGACACTGGAGTCTTAGTTCTGTCTCTAGACAAAGACCTAGAAGCACAGGCGTACAAGCTACAGGTAAATATTACAGAGATGATTAAAGTCTAACTTCATACAGGAACATGACAACCAAAGACGAAAGAGGTCAACAAAGTTGAAAACAAAGTTGTAAAATTTCACAAAAGAGCCAACAAGCACAGTGAACAATACCAGGAAATTAAGAATGTGCTTTCAAATAGCCTGTCTGCATTTGGTTTCACAGACTTAAACTCAAATTCTGCCCAAAGTAACAAGCTAAAGCACCACCTTGCTGTCTTACATGAAGTATTGCCTTCTATAAATCATATGCCAACTGCTACAAAGCCTCCTTACAAATTCTACGTATGAGTTAGTTACTCAATTCCTCATCACAACCAGCTGAAGAAAAGAACAACTGATAACATGGGAAAGTGGCTGACATAGCTTTTTCTTACTTGGTCCTCAACCTCTTCCTTTGAAGCTGTATCCAATCAAAAGCCTTAGTACCTGATCAGAAAAACTTCCTGTTTTCTGAAAACAAAGATTGCACCTGTTTATAATAAGCCTTGGTATAGATGTTGTAGTAGTTAATCCACCAGTTATAGTTCTTCCTACTGTGAGGAAGTCTCAGAGATTATCTCCATACTGATTCATGGATAAGAAAGTTTTGCTCTGTATTAATTTGAGCCAAATCTTCACCGAGATATTCCAGAAATGCCAACTCACAGTCTGAACCAACTGATAGAGGACAGGCCAAGTTAGGCTTTTACATTTTTAAGCAATCTTCACTGACAACTACATTTGGCAGGGTTCAAAAGCAATTTTCTTGTCTTGGATTACTGGTGTTTTCAGAAGGGGAAGGGAATGGATGGTCACAAAACTAGTAAATCATTGTCACTTTTCACCTGGGTGGGGAGAGGATAAGAAACTACCAAGCTTACCATCCTGCAATATATTTTTTCTTTATCATTAGACAGAAAAGGCCAGTTTGCATCATTCACACAGAGGTTGATGAGCCTCAAGTATTGTACCTAAGTCATGCTCTTTGCCTTTATCCTACCCGAACTCTGCCCTGCCCCCATTGTGCCCTCTTCAGCTTCCTTTGGTTCTACAGCATAAAGTGCCTCAGCAGTCTGTTCCTAAACTGCAGGTTTAGGAGTAAGGCAGAGTTCGCAACATCACCTAGCAGAACAGGTCTTAACTGTGCTGGAAAGCTTCCCTTCACTGGTTTCTTAATAACAGTAGTAGAGCTGAGGTTTCATGCCTCGCAGAGAATCATCACATTGCTTTTCATCAGCATCCCCACTCACTAGCATGTCGTGAGGAGAGCTGTCACATGGAAGAACCAGCTGTGAGAAATCATGCAGAAAGTCCTCTTCAGAGGCTAGCAGCAGCTCGTTCCATGCAGAGATGTCCAGCTTCCCTGAAGTACCACCATACTCTTCAGGAAGGATCACTGGAGGAATGTTTTGATGAAGGGAATTCAGATCACAGCCATGAAGAAAAAACTGAAGAAGAAAGCAAAAGACAGCTTTAACAGTGCATATCAAACACTTTACAGCAAATTACTGAAACAGTCAGCTAACAAGCTTATTTTGAGTTAAAGAGCAAATTTTAGAAGTGATGTCTTTATGGGCAAGTGGCAGCATACAACACTGGGCAGGTGCAGTTAAGACACACCAGCTGGAAAACTCTTGAGATGATCCAAGTCTAGTGCAGCTTAAATCCCAGGAAGATAGACTTGGCATTTGCTAGTCTATGCCAAGGGTCCAAATTCAGCTTGTCCCCAAGTTCATTCATGGGATTGGAAGTACTTATCCTTGTGGAAAAAAGCATCATCCTTTGCATCCAGTCCTACGCTGAAAATACTAGTGCTATGCAGGACGCTTGCATAAGGAAGAAGAGCAAGGAAGTGGCAACACAGATTT